GTAATTGTAACCCCTCTGTACAGTATTTTCACAATAAAAAAAATCATCCACTTTCCCAGGTGTCTCACATGCAGACAACACATCGTGAATCTTCTTGGCTTTCATAATCACAGCAGACCTAACCACAATAAGTCAGCTTTTGTATGTTTATGCACACCCTATTTGCACCATATTATCTGAAATAGAAATCAAAAAAGCAACTGTATGTAAATATATATAGTAAGATAGCATATAGTAGATAACAAAATATAATAAAAATATATGGTAGCTAATTCATCAAGACATGAAAGATTTCCATCTTGAAATTTATAAAAGTTTGCATAAAATATGTTTCAAAGTATTTCCTAATGATCCTCTGAATTTTATTGGTATGTTTTGTGATATCCACTCTCATCTCTAAAGTTATTAGTCTGTCTCCTCTCCCTCTTTCTTCTGGTTAATTAGTATAAGTATTTGTCAATCTTACTTATCTTTTCAAAGAACCAGTGTTTGTTTTCATTGACTATTGGTATTCTTCTGATTCTACTTTGTTTATGTCTGCCCTGATAGAAATGAAATATATTTAATACTCTTGGAGTTGATGGTCTTTTGTTTTTAAGAGCTTACAATTCATCTTTATGTTTTTTATTTGAGATTTCTCTGACTTTTTTTAGTGAAGGCATATAAATTGCTGTAAATGTCCTTTTTACCAGGAACTACTATTGTTGTGTCCTCCCCGGAAAGTTGTACTTCTCCAACCTTCCTACATACAGTAATCTGGGTTGGCTGTTATTCTATCTGAGCTATGAATGTATTATTCCTTACCTCTCTCTCTTTTAAAGTTTCTGTTGAAAAATCTACTGTTATGGGTTTATCTGTACAATTTAACACTTCTTTCTTGAAGCTTCCAATACAGTCTCTCTTCTCTGTATGTCTAAAACTTTCCTATGTTATGGGAGATTCTTTTGGAATCTTTGTCTGGTTGAAGTCCTAAAAATCTTATATACCTAGAATATGATGTCTTTCTCAAGATTTGGAAAGTTTTCTGCTAGTTTTTTTTATAGAATGTTTTCTGATTTTTAGCTTGTTTCTCTTCTCCATCTATACTCATCATTCATGTGTTTTGTCTTTCTGTGATCCAAAAACGTCTTGCATTTTGTATTTATATTATGTTAGTTTTTACTTCTTTATCTTCATCTGCATGTTCAAGTACATGTATTGTCTTCAGACCCTGATATTCTTTTTTTCAGTTTGATTCAGTATACTGGAGAAACTTTTCACTGAAGTATTTTCTTTTTCAATTTGGTTCATTGAACTTTGCATTTCTAGAATATATATATATATATATATCCATATCTCTATCTATCTATCTATCCTAACACACATGTGTGTGTTTATATATTAGGAATTATATATCATTAGTTAGACATAGTTTTTAAAAAAAACTTGATGTTTCAGTGAAATATCAAGTAAATGCATATCAACTAAAACTGCTGCAACCTGTTCTTGGATTCCTTTCCTATAGAAGTTTCCTTCTTGTGTTCCAGTAACCACTGTTGAATACAGGGAATTTTGTAGTATGTATTTCTATACCAAGGCTGGGCTGTATCACACAGATGCACTTAGCTGTCACAACAAATAACCACACTGGGTTAAGGCTTACTTGAAATATAGTATAATTATGGAACAATAATTGTCAGCCTGTCACCTGGGGCATCTGGTCTACCTTGTGAATTGAACATTGGCTCCTCTCTCCACCCTGGGAAGCCTGAGATGGGACATGGAGCTATTTGCAATTTTTCTTTGTTGCCTTTATTTCTCTATGATTTTTGCTGTTCTGCTACCTTTTTCATGACTTCTGAGATCTTTCTCCCTTCACAATATAGTCTTTCCTGTGTCACCTAACTCTTCTCATTCACACACACACACTCACACACACACACACACACACACACACAAATAGTAGGCACTTTTTTTGTCGGTCATGGGGCTGAACTCTGGGCCTGGGCGCTGTCCCTCAGGTCTTCAGCTCAAGGCTAGTGCTCTACCACTTGAGCCACAGCACCAGTCTCACGGACTTTCCTGCCTAGACTGGCTTTGAACCATGAGCCTTAGATCTCAGCCTCCTAAGTAGCTAGGGTTACAGGCATGAGCCACCAGCACCCAGCTAGTAGGCACTTTTAATCTGCAATTTTGCACATCTCTTAATTTTACTTCAGATGTTTAAAGTAACCTATCAGAATGGTTTAACTGTTAAAAGAGGTTGAAAACAGGAATTTCCAAATAATATTTGTGCAAATATGAATAAATTGCTGAAATTCTTGTGCTTCATAGTTTATAATAATGTACTCAGCAATCACATTCTTAATGCTATGGACAGCATATAGAAAATGTACTTTAAAACCGTGTACACGGGCTGAGAAGATGGCTCAGTGGTAGAGCACTTGCCTTGCATGCATGAGGCCCTGGGTTCGATTCCTCAGCACCACATAAACAAAAAGAAAAAAAGCCAGAAGTGGCACTGTGGCTCAAGTGGTAGACTGCTAGCCTTGAGCTGAAGAGCTGAGGGACAGCGCCCAGGCCCAGAGTTCAGGTCCCATGACCGGACCCCCCAAAAAAAACCAAAAACAACTGTGTACAGTAGTAGCTGAATAGAAGCATCTAGCTGGCTTTTGCTGAGGTTAGAGGAGATTACTTGGCATATTATTTCATCCACACGAGTGATTTTGTATCAAGTTGTTAAACTGTCTACATCTCAGCATCTAAGTGAGTGAATTTTTAAAACTGCTAATATGATGCATTTTACTCAGTTTAGGTAATCGGTAATGCTGCATATTCCTATTGTACTCAAATGATTCTAAATCCAGGGCTTTTTCTGAAGAACATCAAGTGCAGTAACTTGCATTTAATAGAATGCATATTATACTTATACCTCCCAATTTCAATCAATTTGCTTGTCATTCTGTTTCTTGTTTTCATTGTTCATTTTCATTGCCACTGATTTTTACATGACAATTATGGAGAACAGGGCAGAAGTAGTATAGTTCATCCTCTTGGGTTTAACCAATTATCCTGATCTGTAGTCTACATTCCTTGTACCTTTCCTACATCACCATTCTGACTTGATTCATAGGGAAGATTGTGTTGATTTACTTGGACTCCTGGCCAGCCTATGGTGCATCACCATTACAATATACCCTATTTCTACCTGGGAGAGGTTTTTCAGGAAACAGTACCTGGGTGTGTGAAGGCAAGTTTTTTTTTTGATGTATATCACAATGAGGAACTCCCAGTGGCAATAAGCACATAACCCAGGCTGGTTCTAAGAAAGCACAGGATATACAGTACAGAGCAGGAGGAATAGCCTAGGCACACAAATTCCACCCACACTGAACAATTCCCCTGAGTCATTGAACTACCAGCGATTTCATTCTGTGAGTTAGAAGCACAAAGGGAACGATCAGAGTGATGACCTTAGCATCTTGATGATCTACTTACTTATGCTTTATGCAAAGAATCTAGCTTGTCCCATTACGGTTGGGGTTAGAAAAAAGGGTAGAATGAGTTCTTTTTGTTTGAATTAAAAAAATTCTTTCCATTTAGTTATTTAAAAATTACAGAATCATTTTCAGGAGATTCTGCTCTCCTACATAAATATTAGACTGACTAAACTGCCATCTAGAAGGTAAAGAACAGATAAAATATCATTTTTCTTGAGCTCTTGTTCACTGAACTCTCTCTACTTCTTGGTTTGGTTTTTAAGGCACAGATGGGATATAATTTTTCAGGAGTTCATCTTCACTGAACTTTCTTCACTTTTTTGTTGTTTTATTTTTGAGGAACAGGTAGCATATAGTTTTTCATGAGTTCTTGTTCACTGAACTCTGCCTACGTTTTTTGAGGTGTTGTTTGTTTTGTTTTGTTTTTGAGACAGGTTCTCACTGCACAGCCCAGGCTTGCCTCACACAGCCAATTCTAGGTCAGTCTCTTGACTGCTAAGTCTTGGAATTATAGGCAATGTGCCACCATGCTGCAGTTACTAAACTTTTCCTGATCTCTGAAATTGAGGAACTAAATACATTTACATTATATGCCATGTGTTATTTCTCAAATTCACTACTGGAACTTTTTCAACCATGAGATCCAAGATGTGGATGATAGGGATCATTCTCTGGATTTCTACATTTCACCACAAACATAAAAAAGATTATCTTGAAAGAGATACTGGGATCCCCACATTTTGGCAATAACTGTTAAGAGCACTATTGCCTGAGCACAGGGGCTCACACTGCGAATAAGAATCAAACCATGATTTTGAAATCTAAGAATTTAAAATAAAATGTAAGTATAAAATAGAATTCTGGCATAATTATGCATGCACGGTTTATTTGTAAAGCACTTCATGCCAATACTGAGATGGAATGTGGTATTTGACAGTACCTAGGGTTATAATTTTTCTGTATATACTTTTACTGCAGCTTGAACTCAGGGTTCCACACTCTCGCTCAGGTTTTTGCTCATGGATGGTGCTCTGCCATATGAGTCATGACTCCAGTCAAGCTTTTTTCTAATTAACTACATAGAGTCTCTTAAAGTATTGACTCCAAAGTATAGCTATTCAATCTCAGCCATCACAGCTCATCAGATTTCTGAGTAGTTCCAATGAAAGGCATAATCCACCATCTCCTGTCTATAACATAATCTGAAAATTGAAGAAGCATTCCATTTCTGGGAAAAGATACATAATTTTTTTTCTAACCAGATTATTGGCTGGGGGAGGGTGACTCAAGTCACTTTCCTAGCAATCTCAAGGCCCTGAGTACTGTCAAGCCTCAAGTCTCACTATTGTCAATAATTAATGATAATAATAATAAGCTTTCCTAATTAAGGACATAGTTATGAAACAGGAAGAGAATGGACAATGTATGTGAAAGAACTATACACAGAAATTAAGAATAAGAAAAAATTGTAATTACTGTAATTGTTCTTAGACAATGAAGATAGAACAGAAAGTGTCATGATTAGCAAATCATTTGCAATACATTGACTATGCCCAATGAAGACCTTGCTTTTACAATGGCTTTCCTGAATGCATTCTTGACCTCCTTGTTCCTCAGGCTGTAGACCAGGGGGTTCAGCATGGGGATGACTATCGTGTAGAACACAGAAGCAATTTTGTCCGTGTCCATGGAATGACTGGAGCCTGGCTGTAGGTACATGAAGATGACTGTCCCATAGAAGATGGACACAGTGGTGAGGTGGGATGTGCAGGTGGATAAAGCTTTCTTCTTTCCCTCAGCTGAACGCATCCTCAAGATGGCAACAAAAATAAGCAGGTAAGAGCTCAAGATGACCGCAAGAGAGAAAAGGACATTGAATGCCACCAGCACAAAGAGCACAAGCTCATTTGTGTGGATATCGGAGCAAGAAAGAACCAGCAGCGAGGGAATGTCACAGAAAAAGTGATGAATCACGTTGGAACGACAGAAAGAGAGGTGGAAAGTGAGGGCCACGTGGGTGGAGGACTGCAAGAGCCCACTGACGTAGGAAAGGGTCACAAGGAGGACACACACGGAGCTGGTCATGGTGCTGCTGTAGTGCAGGGGTTTACACACGGCTGCGTGGCGGTCAAAGGCCATCAAGGCCAAGAGGAAACATTCAATAATGGCAAAGGCTACAAAGAAGAACATCTGGGTGGCACAGGCATTGTAGGAGATGATCTTCTCTCTGGTGAGAAACCCTTCCATCACCTTGGGAGTGACGGCCGAGGCATACACACAGTCCACCAGGGAGAGGTTGCTGAGGAAAAAGTACATGGGGGTGTGGAGGCGAGAGTCCAACAGAATCAGCGCGATCATCCCGAGATTGCCAACCAGAGTGATGAAGTAAATGAGGGTGAAGATGATAAATAAAGGGACCTGCAGCTCTAGGGCATCTGTTAAGCCCACAAGAATGAAGCCAGTAACCTCTGACATGTTCTCCATCACAGTCCTTTGGGAATTACCAGGACAGGCTGCTTGTACAGCACCAGGAGCCGTGAGGTGTGGCCAAGGTCTCTTGGTCTGGTGTCAGCTTCCTGACCTGTGCGGGAGTCTGTGGAAGGAGCTGGCCTGGGTGCTGTGGGAGGTGTAGCTTGAGTGAGGTCCTGCACCTGGAAGTGGTACACATGGTCACCAGAACATCTTTGCTGCCTACAGTTGCTACATTCCAGGCATAGTATGACTCTGGGGCTCAGTTCAGTTGGCCTGGTATATGCTAATCTCTATTACATGAATCACACAGCATTCTTTTCCAGTCCAGTCTTTGCAATAGCATACAAGCAACCAGGTCTAACATATGCCTAGAGAGCTAAGGAGCAGAAAGCACAGTGCAGGAAAGTGTGGTGACACTTTTGTAAATGGTGGTGACAAATCTTGTCCCAAGCATTGCCCACCTGTGACAAACCTTCACCATTCTAGCTGTAGGCGTTCAGTGATTCCAGCTCTAGGACACTCAGGATTCTCCCTCTATTGTATGAAGGTCCCTAATGGGATGCTGCTTTCAGAAACTTCATGACATACAGGAGACATTCTTCTTGATGACATGAATTTGTTCAGTATCCCAAAACATAAAGGAAGACTTTACTCAAATGTTTGAATCAAAGCTTTAGCTCTTTTCTTTTCTTGTTACAAACTTTATTTTGCAGAGGGGCTGTGTTCTGTTAAATATCAGCATCCAGGTCTTCAGATTTTTGGTAGGGAGAACAGGGGAATAAAAAAGTATTATCTTATTGTTCCCTGGACTAGAGACTGCCTTCAACTGAGCAGTACTGAATGAGCAATCTGGGTGCACTTACCTCCAGTATGGCTCAGGTGACAGCTGAATCTGCAATTGCGAACAATATTCATTTCTTCTTGTCTAAAAAATGTTCATATTCAAGGACTGAGATGGCATAGCATTTGCTTTAAAGATAGACAAGCATTCACTGTGTATACCACAAAGTTAAGAAATGTATGGGATGGGGTGAGTCCAAGGGGGAGGACATTGTTGAAGGGTGTGACATAGATCAAGATGCATTGTATTATATACTGCTTTGTTCAGTGACACGCCCTTTGTATAACTACTTAAAGACAACAATAAAAAATTAAACATAGAATGACACTGGGCAAGACTAGAAAAATGTGGTTAAAATCCTAAAATGGATAATTTTAAATAATTTTTAAAAACCTACATGACCAAAAGGCAGGTGACACCAACATTATTTCTTCATGTTCGTGATGGATAAGTAGAAGTAATCTTTCCAATGTACTGAGTTTTAGGAATAAATAAAACATTATGGAAAAAGAAAACCCCCTTTCCTTCTCTTTACAACTATCCTCCTCCCTTATGTGGTAATGAACATAAAACTGTGAAAGCCAAAATGTGTTAATTACATCTCGCATTTAGACTCTTTAATTTTCATAGGCTGCTTCATTTCCTCCTGTCTACTTAGGTGCATTCTTTCAGCAATATTAAACATCCATATTTTCATATTCTTAAATTCACCCTTAAGAAGAATGAATTGTGTCTTTAGCAGGAAAATGGGTAGAACTGGAGATTGTCATGTGAAGCCTAGTAAGCGAACTTTGTCAAAAAGACAAAGTTCATATGTGCATGCCAGGCCTAAATACAAGCATGTACATAAACACACACAGCATCATACATACACATACACCTCATACACACACTCACAGGGCACATACACACTCCCTCATACATACTTGTAATTGTGGAACTGATTGGGCAGCTTGTGGGGAGGAAAAGAATGTTAGGGGTGAGCAATACTGAAATATCTTGCATCTGTAAGTGAAGAGGGCAAAAGTAAATTCATGGGAGGGAGGGGTGGAGGGATGAGGAAAGTCAGGACAAGCAAGGAGATGAATCTGATTAAAATATTGCACATGCATTGCACTGTGCAATACCATGGTGGAACTCCTTTGAGTTGTTAGCACTCCCTCAAACAATTAATATTTTACTTAAAAATGGCAGGAATGTAAAGCATCCATTCCAGGATGTGGGTGCTAATGGGAAGGAGGGACAGGGCAAATAGAGAGGGTGAAAGAGAGTGAATAGCATCAAAACACTTCATGTACATGTGTGAATATTCAACAGTGAAGCTCTCTTAGGGATTGTTTTGGAAGGGGGAGAAGGATGATGAGGAAGAGAGATCGAAAAATTAGGTCTAATTAAGGTACATTGTATGCATATATTAGCATGTAAAAATGAAACACCTTTTCAAAACTGATGGATGCTAATTAATAAAAATGTGAGGAAAACAAAATAGTGTATCATTTGAGATGGCCAATTAGATATAAGTAATATCATTCCTGACATTAAAAAAAAGGAGTTATAATCCTTTAACTGCTATTCTACTTTTTTTTTTTTGGCCAGTCCTGGGGCTTGAACTCAGGGACTGGGCACTGTCCCTGAGCTTCTTTTGCTCAAGGCTAACACTGTACCACTTGAGCCACAGCGCCACCTCTGGCTTTTTCTGTTTATGTGGTGCTGAGGAATTGAACCCAGGGCTTCATGCATGATAGATAAGCATTCTACCACTGAGCTACTTTCCCAGCCATGGAAAATATGGCAGTACTTGCACATTTCTGAAATACTCACTATTGACCCAGGAGCGGATGAATGCAGGTGCAAAGGAGGAAGCAAGGAAACCCGTCATGTCCTGACAGTCGGTTGGAGGTCCACAGCCTGGAAAGCCTCCTGTGCAGAATGGCTTTTCCACCTGTGGAGTTGCATGGTCTGGACAGAGCCTGGGCCTGTGTCTTGCAAATATCCAGGTAGAGAACGCAGCCCTTGCACGCAGGTCTCAGGGGGAGCTGTGCTGTGGGAGTGGCTGTCCCTGAGGTGCTTCAGGACACAGTGGCTCCATCCTGACCTTGACAGAGACAAGGTCCATGTCCTGGGAGACAACACTGTGCATTTTGGCTGGGGGAATAGAGGCTTTGGAGAAAAAGCCTCCCATGATCAAGTCAACTGTGGCACAGGCAGGAGAGGAAACAGACAAAACCCTCCCTGAAATATTTCACTTAAGTCATACTTATGCAAGCTTTTTTTGTTGTTGTTGTCAGTTGTGGGGCTTGACCTCTGGGCCTGGGCACTGTCCCTCAGCTCTTCAGCTCAAGGCAAGCGTTATACCACTTGAGCCACAGCACCACTTCCAGTTCTCTGGTGGTTTACTGAAGATAAGAGTCTCACGGACTTTCCTGCCAGGGCTGGCTTTGAACTGAGGTCCTCAGGTCTCAGCCTCCTGAGTAGCTAGGATTACAGGCATGAGCCACCAGTGTCAGGCTAAGCTTTTTTTTCTTAACTCAGGACCTAGATGATATTTCCTCCTCCTCCTGCTCCTCCTCCTCCTCCTCCTCCTCCTCTTCTTCCTCTTCTTCCTCCTCCTCCTCCTCCTCCTTGTTTTCCTCTCTTCTTCTTCTTTTCTTCTTCTTCTTCTT